TTCTAATCAGTAAATTAAGTTGCGCTATAACAATGACATAAGCATACATGGTAGTTAGGTAGAGTTAGTAAATTAGTGTATACTGTATATACGGATTGTATCAGAAGCGAAAAATCTTTAACAACGCAATTTGAACTCATCTAGATTTTGATTCAACACTTAACATCGAAGAAATGTGTGTGTGTGTGTATTTTTTGTTTCCAGTCAAGCATATCAATTTGACCTTATGAGGAGAAAAAATTGAAAATTTTCCCACATTTCATAATTTTTCTTTCTGTGTATTCCTTCCTTTTATAACTCACTTTGTGTGTGGGTATACGACTTCTCACTAATTTTCTGAGCTCATTTTATTGACGCAAACATTGAAAGAGACTGAATAGGGTGAACAGACCAAGTTAACTGTTTCACTGTTTACACCACTGACAGATTTGCGCTTGACTATCACTGAAAATCAAGAAAAATTGGACGGTTTGTTCATTTCGCCACAACATACTGCCAACACCTAATATCGCTAACTGGATGAAATTAAACAGGATAGTCTGGCTCAGTGATTTAAAATTTCAGAGCTCCCTGGGAAACTTAAATTCTTGATTTTCATCCATGACTGTATTTTGAGTGTGAACTGATCGAGAATATCATACCAGGATGAAACAGCTACCCAGTGTTTCCTGGTTTTTCAATAGTTGATTGAACGAGATCACTCCATGGTGTAAACTATGAAATACAGCAATCTCAACAAACCACCAATAGCAAAAATAAACAACTTTTTCTGACGAAGCGTAATTAGACAGAAAATCCCTGAAAAATAAAACGTGATAAAAACTTATATCATTTCAGAGAGGCGTCCTAAAAGTTAAGGCCCTTAGATCCCTAACTCGTTGGTAGCAAGTTCAAATTCTGTTACATTTACTTCAGTTCGGCCACGTGATCGTACCATACAGATGAAGTTATAAAAAACGTAGGGTTATAGCTGCTTAATTTGGCATACCCTCTAGTTTATATATGATTGAGTTTAACAATTTATGGCCACATAACGACTATACATTAAAACTACTAGACTTTGCAATGAACAAATCACTACTACCAGCTTGGGGTATTCATTTTTTTTTAGTTAAAAATTATTTGTTATTTTGCATATAAATAAGAGCAGATATAGTGATCAGAAAGTTACGAAAATATTAGCTAAATGATCAAATAAGCTATTGTACTCATAGCCAAAGTTATATTTCAATATTGTCAAAAGCATGCATATATATATAAGTTCGGAAAGCAGAAGTAACGTTCGATTTGAAGAAAAAAAATGTATCACCAGAGATTTATTATAAGCGTCATACTACAAAGAAACTATAGATAATTTATTCTTAAAAGGTCTGTATGCCATGACTGTAGTAAGTATGGTTTTCTTGAAATAAATTACAATTTATAGCAGGTCATTTACACTTACATCGCTTACATTCTTTCACATTCGTAATTTTGTTTGTGTTCGCTTCTTGTGTCTACGGTTTTACAGTCTGAGCTAAAAACTATCATCACCACTTCAGATTATCCTCTGAAATTTATACATGTTATCGAATAACGATTAATTGGACCATCGATATATAAAGTATGGGAATCATTTCAAGGATATTTCCTCTACAAATTGTCACCATTGGTGGTTATCCACTACAATTAATAGCTAAATTTTAAGAATCATCTACAAAGAATATTAAATACCATTCAAATAATATTCATATATTCACAATTATTGTTATCTAGTGATGCTAATTAATTCAATCTATAAGAAAAGTATTGCTAATTAAATAGGACGAATAGATTGATTAGCAACTGCTCATGAGTCCCATACCAGGACGAAACAATTATTCATTGCTTCCCGTTAAACCCCTATGGTGGTCTAACACTAATCAGTTCATGATTTCAATCAAACTCAACAATCTTCAAAATCCTATACTGAGAAATAAAAATACAAATTCTTTAGAGTTTATTTAAAATAATTTCCGCTTTTTATGATATTTTTTATAGTTCCCTCTTAGTTTGCAAAAAATACGTAATTTCGTTACTGATGAAATCGCTATAATTGCATAACTAACTTGTAAATAAACTAAGTTATTAAACAATTAGTTAACTTATAGCATCATCTTTGTTTTGTACACAAAGTATGCACCTGCTCATCAACCTTGAGATTTTAATCTGTTTTAGTGAATTAACAAACAACACAAGAATAATTGAATAAATTATTGCTGTTAGAATTTAGGATTTGGATATGACAAAAAAAAACAAACCCACGATTTACGGTCTTTCGAGTGAACGAACACCTTTTAACCCTGGCTATTGATTCGTCATGTGCCTTAGAGACAGGAAGTCCTAGATTGGAGTACTGGATGCGGGGTAGTGAATGAGCACTGGTGAGGGGTTCCAAACGACAATGAAACATTCATCCAGTGCTTCAGGGCAGTGAGTTCGCAATTTAAACTACTAAAATAACACAAATTAGTTAGTAATTATAAAGTAAACGGTGACTGATATGTCATGAAAAATTTTAACATACATTATAATTCGGATATCGACTAATTCACAACTAGTTGGTTGTCGCTCTTGAAACATACATACCAAGTACTTATAGTTGCTCACTAATTCAATCACAGTTAATTATTTGTGAAATATCTGATATTTCAGTTCATAGATGAAACAAAATTTTTAAGATAAATAATCACAGTTTAAAGGTCAATGATAGAATGAGATTATAATTTTAATGTTATATAATTAAAAACCTTATAAGAACTTATTAAAATTAAAAAGACTAGTTTATTTATTCATTTTTAAATAAGCAGCTCACTTAGCAAGAAATAAATGGCCCTATCATCGTCTTAGTTAAACTCTTATCACGTAAAAATCAATTTTGCACTTGAACAATTTTTAATAACGTTCACTAAATTGTCATTATTATTATTATTATTATTGTTATTATTATTTACAAATTGACCAGATTTATGAATAAAATCGAACTGATATTAACATTATATATAACAAATTGGCCTAAAATTTAGATTGGAATGACCAAGAAGTAAACAAGTGAGTCAATAACATTTTCTATTAGAATCTTATTCTAATGTAATGCACAAACTGTACGCATGAATGAATAAACTTAAATCTGTCAGGTCAAATTTTAACATTTAAGAATTCAATCTGATATGTTTGTCACTTAGGAGTATGCTTGATGCTATTACGAGTTTACCTTAGTCGATAAACGCGAACGATACTTCTACCAGCTTCCAGGAAGGCTACCTTGAATCCCAGAATCGAAATAGAAGACTTTGTAGGCGTAGAAAGTATATTCTACAAGCACCCAGCAATCCCAGTACAATCAAGCACACAACTCTCGTTTATTTATACAACATAACAACGTCCTTGAGACAGTTAAGAAAATAGCATACTAAAATACACTGTAGCCAATCACAGCCATTGATTTTGCTGGTGGGAATTGAAATCTCAAGGTCATTTGATCAGCCCCTGCTGGCGAAACGTAAAAACCAAAATACGGCATTATCATGCGAATTTTGGGGATCTAACATCCCCAACACTCCTCCCCTTTTTAATAGCTTGTTCTCCTGGGGTCGACTTGCATCTTGACTATTGTTCGCCGCTGTCTGAGGGGATACCTTCGGGAACGAAGAACAGCTTGCTGCTGAGTTTCTTCTCGTGGCGGGGCTCTCGGTAGGTTGAAGGTATCAAGCAAGATGTCAAGGGGAAGGCTTTCTGCTCTTGATGGGCGATCTGGGGCTAGCCGTCTGCGTATCTGATTCCGATGACGTGACCATTTATCACCTCCTACCTCTACTTCGTACATAACTCGACCAACCCTTCTGACCACTCTCGCTTCTACCCAAGGACCATGGTTCGTTCTGTAGTCGCGGGCAAACACAGGGCATCCCACCTCGTAAGCGGATTGTCTTTGCTGCTTTGTCTCTACTGATGAGGGTGCATTGGTCGGATGCATCAGGCTGTGAATCGTTTTCAATCTTCTTCCCATCAGGATTTCAGCTGGGGACTTTTGCTCCGGTAACAATTCATTTGGTGTTGTCCGATAGACGTACAAGAAATTTTGTAGCGTTTCGGCTGGCGTCCCCTCCCCTTTTGACTTGAGCAGTGCTCTTTTAAACGTATCCACAAACCTTTCCGCCTGCCCATTCGATTGCGGGTGGTATGGTGGCGAGCGTAAGTGTTTAATAGCTAGCCGTTGACAGAAATTCTGGAATTGGGAAGAGGTGAATTGAGAGCCATTGTCGGATACGATCACATCTGGTATGCCATTTCGTGAGAAAATTTCAGTTAGGAGCTGTATAGTCTTAGTTGTAGTGGGCGGCATAACGGGGCTGATTTCCGGCCATTTAGAAAAGGCGTCGACGACAATTAAATACATAGTTCCATTTATTGGGC